GATTTCTCTCCCAGAACCCTTTACCTTCCAGTGCCAACACCCATTCCGCCAAATCCTCACCATTCACTTCATCCAAATTTGTCAAGCATGCAGCAAGGGGATCCTCAACCGTCAACGCCTCATCATCAGCCTCTACAATTACATCCACTGCATCAATAAGGGAACAATTTGCGAACTCACTTGGTCGCCTCATCGATTTCTGCACATTGAATATAATTTCTTCATCATTGAGCCTCATCTTAAGCTCCCCGGTCTCGCAATCAATCAAAGCTCTCCCCGTGGCCAAGAAAGGTCGTCCTAGAATTATAGGAATTTCTTCATCCACTTTGCAATCCAAGATTACAAAATCTGCAGGGAACACGAATTTCCCCACATGAATAAGCACATCATCAAGAATGGACGCTTAACAGTCCTGTCGGCCAGCTGCAATAACATAGAAGTCGGTCGAGCTCTCCCAATGCCTAACCTCTTATAAATGACAAGGGGCATGAGATTAATGTTGGCCCCTAAATCACAGAGTGCCTTAGCAAAGGCATAGTTCCCAATAGTGCATGGAATTGTAAAACTACCTGGATCAGATAGCTTTTCAGCAACAGGTCTAGATACCACTGTCTGAGTAAGGGTCACAGTCGACAAGTCTTGAAAGTCAAACTTCCGAGGCATCAAGTCCTTCATCATTTTAGCGTATCCTGACATCTCCTTTAGCGCTTCAATTAATGGAATGTTTATCTGGATTTGTTTGAGCATCTCTAGGAACTTTTTATACTGCTCCTCCTTTTGATGCTTGGCCAACCTTTGCGGAAATGGTGCAGGAGGTCTTTTCTTCCCAATCACTTGATATTTTTCTTTCTCAGCTACTGTCTCAACTATTGGCTCCGCTACTGTCTCAATTACTGGCTCAACTACTGTTTCAGTTTCTTGCTGCATATTCTTTTCTTCAGGAGCAGGGTGAACTGTTACCTCTGTCAATCCCGTAGAGTCATCCAGCTCTATGGGCACTGGAATTAGTGTCTCAGCCTGTATGTTTTCTCGAGCTCTCTCTTGCTGAACATCTAGATCCTTACCATTTCGTAGACTCACCGCCATCAGCTGCTTTGGGCCTTGATCTTTTGGATTGATTTGGGTATCTGCAGGTAATGTCCCTTGAGGACGATTGTTAAGTGACATTGAAATCTGGCCCACTTGTACCTCAATATTCTTGATAGCTGCATCATGTGCATCCACCCTTTCATTTATTTTAGCATTGGACCCAATAACCTGCTGCATCATTGCTTCAAGCCTTGCAAACCCGTCTTCCTATCTTCCACCCTGTTGTTGCTGAGGTGGGTGGTACCCTTGCTGCTGATTGTTGTACCCTTGTGGTCTAGGATACGGTGCCATGTTGTTGGGGGGTCTCATGCCTCCCATGTTTTCGGCGTTATACTGTGGCTGTGGTAGCCTGTACTGCTACTGAGTCTGCTGACCCCAGTTCTGATTACCTTGCCTCTGACCCCCATAGTTAGCCACATAGTTCATATCTTCAGGGTGTTGGTGATGATGATCATGCTCTGTATTCCATGGATTACCAATTGGCTGGCTAATGCAAGATGTGCACAAGCCCCCATTGGTAGTGTCCACTATATGAACCTGTTGCTTCTGCCCTGATTCCTCCACCTTTTTGGTGAGGATGCTCATTTGCGTCAAAAGAGTCGCCATGTTTTCAGCCATTGTAT